ATTTATATATGTTTATATATCAATGCATAAGTATTTATGTTTGCTTGTCTTTTTTTTTTTTTGATTTGTCCTACGTTTTCTTTATGACCAGGGCAATGATGTGGCCACTTTTTGCTCACCACCTGGTCGACCGCGGCTTGTTGACAACCTTTGGTGGTACTTCTTTTTGTTATGATTTGTGGTTTTTTGGGTTATGAGATTTAATTTGTCTATTTCATCGGTGTGGATTATTATTTAATTCCTCCTATGGATGGTATTTGCCTAGCTACTAGGTGGTTGCATAAAGCGTCTTTGCCAATGACTGAGCTCGAATTGCTTTTTCCTTCATTATTGATTCATGTATCTCTTTTGCTTTAGCTATGTATTTTTGACTTTGCCCTTTGTAGGACTTATTTGTATCCTTCCCTTTATGAATGATTTTTTTTCCTTTCAAAAGCACAAAAAAAATACATGTATGTAAAGTCAGTGGTTGACAAACATTGTATGTTGATAAAAAACATAAGCTGGCCGACGACATGTAGTCGATGTGGAATATCAAAAGTTAGTGTTTATGTGTGCTAACTTAATGATTCTTTAGATATGAAGGGAGATCATACAATCAAGAAAATAGATGAATTGTTAATGGATTACAATCATTGGCAAGCATCTAGTGACAATGAGCATATGAAATGAGATAATAGTGAGAAACCATCTTGATTTTTATATTAATATGAGAGAAGATTATACAACTTTAAAGTTAATTATTAAATATCAATAGCATACAAATGTTGTATGTTTGTTATTAGCAAGCATTAGATGAATGACTGAAGATAAACTTTAGCAATCAAGTAAAAATAGACACTCACATTGGTCATTCTATTCATATGAGAGTGGTCGTGCATGCGAGAAGTTGGATGTTAAACATTGATGGATCACAAATGTCAAACTTCTTTCGTTGGCAGACATCCAACAATGTTTTATAAAGAATATTAGAAGTTGAGTGATTACAAGCAGTTCGCTTTGTGGTTGTAGTCATCAAATATCAATTTTGGACAAATGTTGATTAACTATCAATGACAAGTATTAACCAATAGGCAACGATGGGAATCAACATCTTTAGACAAATTACAACGAGCGACATGCATATACGATTGACAAGCTGCATCAAGAGAAACAACAATCATTGATGTTAGTCAAAAGTTGACATCATGCATAACAAGATGAATATTGAAAGCGAAGAGAAGAACAAAGATTTGGAATTCTCTATGAATTTCATTTTTTTTTTCTTTCATTGATGAAATTTCACTTTAAATAGGTAGAAACTATTCCTATTTATGAATTTCATGAGAGAATATTTTGGTCAGAGAATTTGATTTAAGTTATTAATAATTAATTAAAGAGTTGATAAAATGAATAAAAGCATAATTAAATTTGAGAGAGTAGTAATAAAAATGCAAATCGATTTGTACTGGCCCCACCCTCATATTCTACAATAAGGCCTACATTTGTTATATTTAAATATATATAATTTGTATTTTTTAATGGAGGAATATTTATGTCGCTGAGGACATAAATTTCTTTAATTACACAATGACTAAGCGTGAATGGCTTTTTCCTTCATTATTGATTCATGTATCTCTTTTGCTTTAGCTATGTATTTTTGACTTTGCCCTTTGTAGGACTTATTTGTATCCTTCCCTTTATGAATGATTTTTTTTCCTTTCAAAAGCACAAAAAAAATACATGTATGTAAAGTCAGTGGTTGACAAACATTGTATGTTGATAAAAAACATAAGCTGGCCGACGACATGTAGTCGATGTGGAATATCAAAAGTTAGTGTTTATGTGTGCTAACTTAATGATTCTTTAGATATGAAGGGAGATCATACAATCAAGAAAATAGATGAATTGTTAATGGATTACAATCATTGGCAAGCATCTAGTGACAATGAGCATATGAAATGAGAGAATAGTGAGAAACCATCTTGATTTTTATATTAATATGAGAGAAGATTATACAACTTTAAAGTTAAGTATTAAATATCAATAGCATACAAATGTTGTATGTTTATTATTAGCAAGCATCAGATGTGACTAAAGATAAACTTTAGCAATCAAGTAAAAATAGACACTCAAATTGGTCATTATATTCATATGAGAGTGGTCGTGCATGCGAGAAGTTGGATGTTAAACATTGATGGATCACAAATGTCAAACTTCGTTCATTGGAAGACATCCAACAATGTTTAATAAAGAATAGTAGAAGTTGAGCGATTACAAGCAATTCGCTTTGTGGTTCTTCTTGCCAGAGAAGAGAACAAGCGATCGAGAAGGTGAGTGTTATATATTAGTTGTTTTTAGTCATCAAATATCAGTTTTGGACAAATGTTGATTAACTATCAAAGCATTAACCAATAAGCAACGATGGGAATCAACATCTTTAGACAAATAACAACGGGCGACATATACGATTGACAAGCTGCATCAAGAGAAACAACAATCATTGATGTTAGTCAAAAGTTGACATCATGCATAACAAGATGAATATTCTTGAAAGCGAAGAACAAAGATTTGGAATTCTCTATGAATTTCATTTTTTTTTCTTTCATTGATGAAATTTCACTTTAGAAACTATTCCTATTTATGGATTTCATGAGAGAATATTTTGGCCAGAGACTTTGATTTATGTTATTAATAATTAATTAAAGAGTTTAAAATGAATAAAAACATAATTAAATTTGAGAGAGTAGTAATAAAAATGCAAATCGATTTGTACTGGCCCCACACTCATATTCTACAATAAGGCCTACATTTGTTATATTTAAATATATATATTTTGTATTTTTTTAATGGAGGAATATTTATGTCGCTGAGGACATAAATTTCTTTAATTACATATTTGAACTTTGAAGTTTCATCAATACGGAAGCTCCATCGGTCTTAACACAACTCTTAGCTGGCAATTTTATCAGAAACATACAAATCTTTTTGGTTACTTATGAGTAGGGGTGTAAGTGGGTCGACTAAGTTTGAAATTGGCTCTCTAACGAGCTCGTGAGCCTAGTTTATCGAGTTTGAGCTCGAGCTTGTAATTGAGCTCATTTACTAAATGAGTTAGAGTTCGAACTTATTCTAACTTTGCTCATTAGCAAGCTGAGCTACTCGATTTTAAAATATAGTTTTAAAACTTTTAATATACAATTTTCTTAAGAATTTTTTAAATAATAAAAAATTGAGCTTCATAAACGAGTCCAGTTCGAGCTTTTCAATCGAGCCGAGCTTGAAATGCGTGAACTTGAGTAATAGAGCTATTACCCAAGCTTGTTTTTACAGATCGAGTCAAGTTCGTGTTCATTAAACGAGCTCGAGCTCCATTTGAGATCAAGTTGAGTTTCATATGAGCTAAACGAGCTCAGCTCGATAATGCTACTACTCGATCGACTAGACAAATCATTTACACCCCTACTTAGACATCCATATTTTCTTTAATTCAATTTGAAAGATGAATAAAGCTTGGCTAAGGTTATTTAATCCTTTATATAAACATGTGAATTAGCCCAATAAAATATATGAGCCAATAAATAATAAATTAAAATAATAATGATAATTATTTAATATGAATTGAACCAACAGTGATGCTTATCAAGCTTAAGGTTTTGTTTGGGACGGCTTTATTCCTGCTTCTTAAAGCAGCTTTTTAGTACAATTTTTTTTTTTATTTTGTAATAAAAAGCTGCTTTGAAAAGCAGAAAGAAAGTCGTCTCAAATAAAGCCTAAGTTAAGGCGAGAAAGCAACTACATTGTTAATTAGTTGTCATTCTTTAAACGTGCAAGACCAAGAATGGCTCCTCTCCTTGTTTTAATTAAGATCCTCGATTGATGGCTGACTAAATATTTTATTTTTTAAATTATAACTAATATTTTATATACATGTTTTCAACTATCCTTATCTATAAGAAAAATTATTCTGTGCGAAAATCGGATGCCGTTCAAACGTCAATCAGAATGTATCACATCAATTTTTTTTGTGTACCGATGTTGTGTACTAGGTGACGTGCTGCATTCTGATTGGCCTCTGAACCATCCGATGTCCGCACAAAATAATTTCTCTATCTATAAAGGGAGGATCTTAGAGTAAAAAGTAGGGGATTTTAAAATTTAGGCTTTTTATGAAAAAGGGATACATGGTAAAATTTTAATGAATTCGTTTTTCACTTCATAGTTTATTTTTGATGTATTGCAAATTCATTCAGTTTTGGATGAATTCCTTTTTCACTCCAAGTTGTCGTCGCTGGCCATCACCATCATTTTCTTTACATTATATTCATTTCATTACAAGGCCAAATGAATAATAATAATCTCATGTGGTCTACATTCATCCAAAATTCATAATAAAATTTTAATCCTTATGTGCCTAATTTTTATGAAATTCTTAATAATTTGATCGTGCTACCTACAAATATATGATTTTTTTAATGGGTATTAATTTTGTAATTAAGAGAAAATTTGATCCCGTCTGTGCTGATCATTTTTTAAAAAAGTTATCCTTAATTGAATCTCAACGACATATATTTATATTCTATGTTGTTAAGCTTTAAAAAAATAAATAAATAAAAAATAAAGAAAGAAAGAAAGAAAAAAAGATAATGGACGAAGTCCACATAGTTTCCAGAAAGACTGTGTTCTCAAACAAACGACTTGGCCAAGTTCAAAGCACAGTTAAGCAAATTTTCTACAAAATAATTAGCACTAATTAAACTGTTAGCATGCGATTAATTCAAATTTCAATCACACGTGTTTGGCTAAGACATCTAAGACACGCTTTCTTAGTGATTTACCCGGTACAAATCCTTTGGTAGACAAGTCTATAAAAACACAAATCATCTTTGCCACAATAAGAACAAGTTAAAGCCAGAGATTTATAACTATCTGCTAATCTCTTCAATTAGCTTCATTATAGCCCTTCTTAGCTTTACTGAATAAGATTTCCAAAGCTTAAGCTGATCAATAGCGTTGAAACAATGGCGAGCAACTTCGAAATCTCCTCTCCTCGCTCTCAAGGTAGTCTTGTTACAGTTCTAAGCATAGACGGAGGAGGGGTGAGAGGAATTATTCCAGGAATCATTCTTGCCTTTCTTGAATCCAAGCTTCAAGTATGAATTTTTTTTTCTCTAATGATCTGCTTAATTATGAGTTAATCTGTTTTCTTTTCTTAAACTTTTTGGAAGTATAATTAATTAAGAGACGGGGTTGGGCTATAATTACAGGAGCTTGATGGAGAGGAAGCAAGGCTTGCAGACTATTTTGATGTGATTGCTGGAACAAGCACTGGTGGTTTAGTGACCACAATGCTAACTGCTCCTAATAAGAGTAATCGGCCAATGTATTCAGCCAAAGATATCAAAGATTTCTATTTAAAGCAATCGCCTAAGATCTTTCCTCAAAATGGGTTAGTTGAATCATAACTACTTTATTGGGCTTCATTTATGACGATTTTCTTACTGTTTTTTAAAGCAACTTTTTAATATAAAAACTAAAAACTGCTTTAAGAAGCAGTACGAAAACTGTCCCAAACTAAACCTTAATTTCTTCATTTGGGACTTTATTATAAGAGATTGTTCATAAAAACTGTATCTAAGCTTTGCACTCTCATATATTTTATCAATCTGCTGAAACTCTTTTCAACAAAAAACTAGCTTATTTTTATGCCTATTAGCAGCAGGTTAAAAGACTCAAGTTGCAGGAAATACAGTCACATATTTCAGAAAAGAAACACAATAAGAAAGATAAATTAATTTTATGTTAATTTTTATCTGAAGACTCAAATGGCAATACTCGAAGCTTCAATCTCATTGATGGTGGACTTGCAGCAAATAATCCAGTATGTTCATTTCTCATCAGTTCAAAGAAAAATATATAAAACTATATAAATTTATATTTATATATATATATATATATATATATTTATGAATTTATACAGACTTTGCTTGCCATGAATATTGTGAGCAAGAACATTTTCCTGGAAAGACAAGACTACTTTCCTATAAATCCAGTGGAATACAGCAAGTTTCTTGTACTTTCTGTTGGTACTGGATCAGCCAAGGCAGAAGAGAACTACAATGCAAAAGATGCAGCTAAGTGGGGAGTGCTTCGATGGCTATATAACAATGGTGGCACGCCTATCATCGACATATATTCACAAGCAAGTGCAGACATGGTTGATATCATGACTTGCATTCTCTTCAAAACTCTACATTCAGAGAACAATTATCTTCGCATTCAGGTAAAAATAAGAAGAAGAAGAAGCTCTAATATTTGGTGTGAAGTAGTTTTAAGAAAGAGATTAATTTGTTTAAAATTGTGATTAAACAGGATGACACATTGATGGGGAGCACATCATCAGTGGACATCTCAACGACAGAGAACTTAGAAGAGTTGGTGAAGATTGGAGAGAATTTGATTGAGAAGAATGTGTCGAGGGTGAATATAGAGACTGGGATATATGAGCCTGTCAAAGGTGGAGGAACTAATGAAGAAGCCTTGATTCACTTTGCACACTTACTTTCAAAGGAAAGGAAGAGAAGAATTAATGGTACAAAAATGGCAGCCGCTGCTTAACATGTTATCATTCATTAGTTTGCTTGTTGTACAATTCTATTGGATTTTGACTTAGGACGATCTTTCTCTAACTGCTCCTTAATTAGTTAAAAAAAATTTCATTTTTGTATTAACTAATTGTTTCAAAAAGCAGTAAGAAAACTGTACCAAATAAAAGACATGATTCCTTGAACTTAGTATATCAATTCATAAAATTGTTTCATAATCAAGTGATATAATATATAAATGAGTTTTCTACTACATGCAAGCAACAAAATTAAGCTAATTATGAGCATCAATAAATGACACAATATGAACTCTACATAAAAAATTCAAATTCGAGTTCACACAATTAGTTTTTTGAGTCGTGTTCGATTCCAAAATATTGAACTGTTCAATTATTTATGGGGTTTGGAGAGTCGAAAAGCTGATTTTAACTAAGCAGATCACCCTAAAGCACAGGAGGGTGAGTCCATGAGAATTAATGGTGTAAAAATGACATATAGAAATCATATATATTTTTATAATACATGCTATTTAAATGGGTTAGGACATCCTACCTAATTTTTATCTATTTTTTAATTGCATTTGTTCATATAAAAATATTTATACATAATTTATTTTTCCAGCGGATTTCATTAATATTGTTTTCTAAAAGTGATAATATAGAAAAATATACAGCGGTGAATTAACCAAAAAAAGGTTCATACTTACTAGAATTATTTAACAATGTATTAAAATATTGTAAATAGTCAAGAAAAAAATAAGAGCATAAAAGCCAGCGGCCATTATTCTGTGTCGCACTCAGAAATACAGAATGCTGATTGCCAGCATATTAATCCACATTACTCCAAACGGATATATATATATAATATATAACTCGTACAACACTCGGACGCGAATTTACAAACTCTACCGCCGCGTATATTCTAACACGCAACAAGTATATATATATATGATCAATGAACACCAATGTTTTTTACGTGGAAAACCCGGAAGAGGGAAAAAACCACAGGGCCTCGTCCAGTTGTAAATTTCAACTAGTATTTGTTTGAAGTACAAAGGTTGATCCGTTTTACAAATCAAGACGATCAGTTTACATTCAACTTCTCACAAAATTACAAAGTTCTGCAAATTCCCGGCGTTTCCCGAAAATTCAGCAGAGTTCCGGCGTCTTCAGGCGGTGAGAAAAGCTCCGGCGGTGGTCGAGGAGGAGCTTCTTCTTTATATTCCTTCTTCTCTTCTTCTCTTCTTCTTCTCTCTTCACTTGATTATAGCCATCAAAAATAATTTTTGAAGCCTCTTACAAGCCAAAACCAAGTCATCCTCGCTAGTCTTGAACTCTTGATCTGCTTCCTCTTAAAATCCTTAGAATCTTTGAAATCTCCCTATCAAATTCATATAAAACATTTATATCATAAACTCATTCCCCAAAGTATAGAAGCAAATAAGGTCAGACCAAATTCCCTTGGCCTAGTTTTGGTAGGGGTGTCAATTTCGGGTTACAGGTCTGGTTCGGGTCTAACCCGAAATTGATTCGCACTATTCGGATCAACCCAAACCCAACATGTTTTTTCAAACGGGTCAATTTTCCATAACCGAACCCGACCCGCTTTAGGTCCGAGTCAACCCGACATGACCCAAATAACACAGAGCCGACAAAAAATTGCTATTTTTTTGTCAAAAAAAGGGTCAATCTCTAATTTTTGAGTAAAAAATGGGTCAATATCGGATTTCCGGGTCAAAACGGATAAATTTTGGGTTTATGAGTCAAATCGAACCCGACCAGTTTCGGGTCCGGGTTGACCCTAACAAAAAATTTTCTGTTCAGATTTTCAGCTCGTGTCAAATACTGACAACCCTAAGTTTTGGTACGCCCACCTCCATAGCCCAACTGAAAACATTCCATTTCACATCATATCTAGATCAAATCTTCACATTAAGCTACTTCTTCATATCCATTTGTAACCATTTTTGTAGACACTAGTTTAAATGCATGTTCACATGGTGCACACGAATAAAAAATTAAAAATAAAAAATATATAATAAATTAAAAAAATGGCATGTTGTATAAGAGATATTAAATTCTATATCAATATTAAATATAATAATTGCATACATATGGATGATTTATATTTAATCAATAGGCATATATAAACTTCTATTATCATTGCAATATGCTAATTAAAATTAAATGAAAAATAAAAAATAGGCTTATGTATGACCAAAGGTTTTCTAATTGATTGATTGATTGAAATCAATATAGCATGCATGAGATGATTAAATTAGTTACTCAAAAAAAAAAAAAAAAAAAAAGCTTATCATAGAAAAAAGTAAGCTTATCATAGAGCATTAGGTACCTACAAAAGCAGAAATTTATCATGCAAACAATAATGAATGACCATAATTAGAAATACTAATAGTTAGTAGCAATTAAACAAAATTCTTGTAAATTGAATTAAGATAGACTAGAATAATTTATTAGATAAATCTTCCACATCTGAATGAGCCTATAACAAAACATAAGAAGATATAATAACATTATTAAAAAAGATAAAGTACGCTTAAGAAAAACTCATTGGATTTCAACCATATGAGTTTTATATTGTGTAATATAGATCATAAACTTGAGTAATGAATGCATCATCTTTCTTAATGTAATCAAAAGAAAACACAATTCAGACTTATTTCATATTCCATGAAAGAAGCTTTTACTGTTAGAAGAAATCCAAGAAACATATAGACTCTAATGACAATGACATAAAATTAACCTTATTTGCAATCTACCAACTTGATTTGATTAACTTCCACAAAAATACAATAAAGAACACTCAGTATGTAAAAAACACTGTTTTGTGGCTAGTGTTGTGGCACGATGGTTGAGGGCAGTCATGCCTTCCCACGAGAAGCCATGTTCGAGTTGTTCAACGTGCCCACAAAAAGAAGTTGTTTGACCATTCAAATTTTAATAAAAGTGAATGAATGATATTGGCATCCCCTTCTACTTAGAAAAAAAACTTCAAGTATGAGAACAATGAGGTCTCGATGAGACGAATAAAAACTTTTAACAGTAACATGGATGTAAAGTCATGCAATTGTCCAAATATGCTCCCCACAAGAATTCATGCAGTCCAAATTAATAAAAGAATAACATTACATAATTTCAAATTTTAAAATCAAATATATTATTTAAATTGAAAATAACTCACTTCAATAAACCCTAATTTAAACATTCAGTAAATAATACTTCATTAGCAATGATTCCAATTACCAACTTTTCACAATAACCACCAAATAATAATAATGTGACGCATAAAATGCAAATAATGAATAATATTAGATTGGGTAACTATTTCATTGATAGAATTATGAAAATATTTACAATTCATGTCATACTACCATAGAAAAAAAATTACAAAGTTATGATTATATATCTCAGCTTCAAAAGATACAAAGCTTAAGAAAGAGGAAATCTTATATACTTGACACCACAATTGTCCAAAAAGAGTAAAAGTGCTATTAATTATTTTAACCATGTCATCCTATGTCTAATAAGTGTCATGAAGCTAATAGTACCAACACAAATACAATCAAAACCAAGCCATTCAATTGTAATCCTTCATTGCAAAACTTTAAGATTCAATGGCTATTAGCTACCTGACCATATTGATGCATACATATGCAAGCAAATATGAATGTTTAAATAAAAAATAGAAAAACTATGGCATACAAGGCCATAGACAGGCAACCAATGATCCAAAATCTGTTTTATCCAAAGAATATTGCTCGAAATCCCAACCTGCAAGATGATGTATATTGAACACTCCGATGTGTTTATCATATCCAGCAAATAGTTTACATATTTTTTTTTAGAAAAGTGTATGTAAGAAAATATGTTTTACTATAATTCAATAATTTGCAAGCATACACTAAATAATTCATACTTTAACAAAGGAATATTTCATTTATAATGCATAAAATTATAGAAATATTCACAATTAATAGATTTTCACCCTAGCTAAAATTATAGAATCATGACCATATATCTCAACTTAAAAAAAATTAGAAGCTTAAGAAAGAAAAATATTTCATAATTAATTTCACAAGTGTAAAAATAGAGCAATAGCATTGCAAGTTATTTCAATCATGGCATCATATTCCCTATAAATGCTACAAGCAAATATAACCAACCCAAATACGACTAGAACTAAATCATAAAAAAATATTGATGTACTTTGTGTAATATATATTTTAAATGTTAATAAAAATATAAAAGTAAATTAATCAAATTATTTATCATAATGTTCATTATGAATTTTAATCACATTTTTATCTCTATTACTATATATAAAGATGCTTTATTTATCATATAAGCTTTTAAACACGCATTAATTGAGTATTTTTATAAAGAATTATAGAGGTTAAGAGTTCGTTTCATATTTTCAAGTTTTTCAAAATCATGTAATTAAATTTATTAAAAACAATCTGAAGATGCTCAATCCTGAGTGCTTGAATTTGTATTATCATAATAACAATGATAATACAATTAATTTATCTATACTTCTTTTTCATAAAAAAAAATCTAAACGCACATTAATTAAGTATTTTTAATAAGAAGAGATAATTAACCTGTAAAACTTACAGCATGATAGATGCTTAGAAGTTCTAAAATGGATGTGTTTCTTCCAACCTTAGGGGGTGTTTGGTATAGAATTTACCCATCATTTTTAGTAGGATTTACGGTAAATCCAGCCAAACGCAAATAGGGGCACCGTAAATCCGGCAAATCCATAAATCTAGGATTTGCGGATTTACGCCATAAATCCGGTAAATCATTCTAAATTGTAATCCCTTTTCTATTTGAATTTAACGCAACTTACACTTGCCGAAGTTCTTCCTGCGGCGCCCGTGTCGCGATGTGCTGCCCGAGCTCTTTATGTACATGGAGGAAGACGCAACTTCTTCTTCATTCTGCGCCCTAGCCGCTCCAGAAGCAGTATCGCTGGATCTCACTCAACCCC